GGTATATGGCGTCGACTATGACGAGAATTACTCACCGGTCAGTAGCTACGTCACACTCATGATTTTCCTCAGCATCGTCGCCGTCCTCGACCTGAACCTGATGCAGCTCGACATGAAGAACGCCTTCCTGTAGAGCAAGCTCGGCCTCGTGTTGTACATGTCCCGGACTACTACAACGACGGGGCTGACTGGGTGTGCATGCTGTTGAAGAGCTTGTACGGGCTGAAGTTGTCGCCGCTGCTGTAGTACAGGGCACTCGACGAGGTGATGTCTGGCGCCGACTGGAAAAGAGCCAGGTCAACGAGGCACTCTACTTCAAGGTTGGCGACGATGGCGTGAGCTGCTGGGTGCTGGTCTACGTCGACGACCTGCTCGCTGCCAGCAGCAGCACCGGGATGCTGCAGGAGCTGCCGGAGGCCGCCTTTGAGTTGTGCGAGATCTCGCCGGTCGTGAAGTACCTCGGGCTGGAGATCCTGTATGATAGGCCGGTGAAAAAGCTGTGGCTCCACCAGCAGAGCTACGTCGACAAGCTGTGTCAGCGCTTCATTGAAGAGGAGCAGGGCGGTCGGATCCCAAAGACGGCGGTCTCCGTCGACGCCTATGAGAGTACGACGGCTCTGCCTACAAGAACTTACCTTTATTTGATTTCTCATGCATTATCTTGCTTAGCTTTACTTTAACTTGCTTGCTTTTGCTTGATTTCTTATATTCGTTGCTTGAACTATAATTATTATAGTTACAGGCACCGAATAGTTAGTGTGCACCGAATTCTGTGCTTTTCGGTTGCCACCGAATTGCCTTCTACCGAATTCAGGAAGGACCCGTTCGGGACGCTTCGCGACCCGCGGAACCTTCTAGTAACACCCGGGTTACTGCCTTTGTGTCGAGCGTATATATAACCTCGCGTTGTACAACGAAGGAACAGGTGATTAATCATTCAGTTCTGAACCAGTTCCTTCGATCCTCAAACTTGGTCAATAGAGATCGTTTACACGCGAAATCTTCAACCGCGAAAAAAACCGCCTTTAAAAAACCGTGGGGGCGGCGACAAGGAACCAACACACAATTATAGTAGTTCCACGCAACCGTGGGGCGGCGCATGAGTGGGTGGTAAACCAGTTCCACGTAATTTTTCTAAGTCCCCCTCAATACGGTTTTTTAACCCACCTCAGGTTTGTTGGCAAAAAAAGTTGAAATTCGAACGTCCGATCGATTCGAATCTCAATGGCGTAGAGAATTTCGCCCAAAAAGGTTGGAACTTAAAGTTTCAGATCGAGATTCTTCTCAACGACCGAGATTAGACGCGAATTTGACTAAAGGAGAAATACGCGACACTTGCACGGTTCGAACGGCCAGTGAACGAGAGTAACACGAGTACTTAGCACTGGTGATGGCAGGAGTAGTGGAGGAGAAGCCGAACTCGGAGCTACCTGCAGCCGTACAGGAGGTGTTAGCAGAATATAAGGACATCATGCCGGATGACCTGCCTGCAGGAGTGCCTCCAGCGCGAACCCACGAGCACAAGATTGTGGAGGAACTAGGTGCAAAACTCGTCTCTCGTGCACCATACCGCCTTAGTCTGATCGAACTGACAGATATGAAAAAACAGGTTGAGTATCTACTTGAGAGAAAATTGATCCGCCCATCCACCAATTCTCTTCACTCCAAAGCCGGACGGTAGTTTACGGATGTGCATCGACTACCAGGAACTGCATGGTGCAACAGTCTTTTCAAAGCTGGACCTACAGCCGGGTTACTGGCAGATCAAGATGTTAGACAACTCTATCCAGAAGACAGTGTTCCATGCCAAATACGGCTCGTACGAATACTTAGTGATACTGTTCGGACTTTGCAACGCACCGGCAACATTCCAGGCGGAGATGAATCATATCTTACGGCCCCTGCTGGACGAGTGCGTGATAGTATACCTGGACGACATTCTCATCTACTCCAAAAACATGAAGGAGCACGTGGAGCATTTGCGGAAAGTCTTCAAGATCCTGCTGGAGAATAAATTCTACTTGAAGCTGCCAAAGAGCGACTTTGCATTGAAGAAGGTGCAGTTTCTCGGGCACATGGTGAGTGCAGAGGGCGTACATGTAGACACACAGAAGATTGAAGCTGTCGAGAACTAGAAAGTTCCTGAGAACGTGAAGGAGTTGCAGCAGTTCCTAGGCTTCGCCAACTACTACAACAGGTTTGTGCCACAGTACGCTAAGATAGCAGCGCCACTGACGAACTTATTGAAAAAGTGATATGCCCTATAAATGGGATAATCCTAAACAGCAAGCCATGGAGCAGCTACAGACAGCACTGACTACAGTGCCAATACTCATCTCACCAGATCCAGACAGAGATTACGTGGTGGAAGCAGACGCTAGTGACCAGACAGTCGGAGCAGTACTGATGAAGGATCACAGACACGGTTTGCAGCCCATCGCCTACCTCAGTAAGAAGCAACACGGAGCAGAACAGAATTACCCATTTCACGACAAGGAAGCCTTAGCGATAGTCACAGCCTTCAAGGCGTGGAGGTGTTACCTAGAGGGAGCCAAGACTACAGTCTACACTGACCACTGCAATCTCAACTACCTCTAGTCGCAGCCTACGCTCTCACGACGACAGGTGCGGTGGATGGACTTCCTGGAAACACACTTCCACTATGACATCCTCTACAAGCCAAGGCTACACAACAAGGCCGACACACTGAGCCGCCTAGGGCATGTAGCAGGCATCCAGCTTGACGGGATGAATCCTCTACTCAAGGGCCCATTCTATCATGGTTACTCCGTGAACGCAGAGATCGCTACAACACAGAAACAGAAGCTGTTACAATGGGAGAAAGACTTAGCGATAAGGAAGGGTTCAGGAAATATTTGGGTACCGAACTATGCCCCGCTCCGACAGATCTTACTGGAGGAGTTTCACGACGTAGCATACGCGGGACATTTCGAGAGCAGCAAGACGTGCAACAGTTCGTCACCTCATGCGATATATGCTAGCGGATGAAGAGTAGCAAGCAGAAAATAAGCATCAGGGTTACTTCAGCCTCTACCCGTACCAGAGCAGCCATGGCAAGTCGTTAGCCTCGACTTCATCACTGGGCTTCCTTCGAACTTACGAGGGCATGATGCTATACTCGTGGTGATCGACAAGTTCTCTAAAATGGGACACTTCATCCCGACCAACGCCACGGCTACAGCTGAAGCAACTGCTCGCCTCTTCTTCGACCGCATCATCACCATCGACGGCATCCCAACTACAATCATCTCAGACAGAGACCCAAAGTTCACTAGTAAGTTCTGGAGGGAACTCATGGGTTTGTTGGGGACAAAGCTTGCGATGTCTTAAGCGTACCACCCTAGACTGACGGACAGACTGAGCGACTCAATCAGGTGGTTGAATAGTTAGTGCACACATCTTGCAAAGACGACATCATCCACTAGGATCTACAATAACTGACGGTTGAGTTCGCTTACAACAACGCTTCACACGTGGCCACAGAGAAGTTTCCATTCTTCCTATGCTACTGACGGGAACCACTTACACCACAGTAGCCAACCACACCGGCACACGTCCAAGCCGCACATGACTTCGTCACCACCATGCAGCAGCTATGGGAGAAGACTCAGTGATGTCTCACCACGATGCATAACTCTTAGAAGCAGTATGCCGATCAACAACGACGAGATCACTCAGTAGCAGTTGGAGATCAGGTGTTTCTTGACACACGCAATTTGGACTTGTCTCGCCTTCCGTCCGAGCTCCGGCCCCACTTCTTTGGTCCCTTTTGCGTTCAGGCAATGGTGACACCAGTAACATTCCGCTTGCGCTTACCTACCACGTGGAAGCTTCACAATGCTTTCCATGTTCAACTACTGAAGCCCTACAAGGACCCCAACCAACAGTTCGCAGAACGACAGCTACCGCCACCACCACCTGTTCTCGTACAGGATGAACCAGAGTAAGAGGTGGAACGTGTGCTTGCTCATCGACGCAGATGCGACAACACGCTCGGGTTCTTGATACGCTGGAAGGGATACGACCCATCGGAGGACAGTTGGGTTGCGGAAGCTGATATGGGCAACGTGCGCCGTGCTCTCAAGGATTATCTTGTCAAGCAGGGTGTATCTCACGCCACCCAACTTAGAGGGGGGGATTGTGAGAGTACGACGGCTCTGCCTACACGAACTTTCCTTTATTTAATTTCTCATGCATTATCTTGCTTAACTTTATTTTGTTTTGCTTGCTTTTGCTTGATTTCTTATATTCGGTGATTGCACTATAATTATTATATTTACAGGCACCAAATATTTAGTTTGCATCAAATTATGTGCTTTTCGATTGCAACCGGATTGCCTTCTACCGAATTTGGGAAGGACCCGTTCGGGACGCTTCGCGACCCGCGGAACCTTCTAGTAACACCCAGGTTACTGCCTTTGTGTCGAGCGTATATATAGTCTCGCACTGTACCCAGGTGATCAATCAATCATTTCTGAACATGTTCCTTCGATCCTCACAACGCCTGTGTCAAGGTACTAACGTAGGTGGAAACCGGGGACTTGGTAGGGCCTAGGCTTCGGAGCCTAGGCCAAGCATGTCAAGAGAGTTGTTTGCAAGGAAAGTTGGGAATGGTTACGTTCACTATAGCACGGAGGGTACATATAGCAAACAAGCAAGGAAGAAGGTGCACCACCTACAAGAAATAGTATAACTACACTAGAGCTACAATACATTCAGTTACACAGTGATATATATAAAACATATATTCTGACACACCCCCATAACTGCATGCACCAGGACCTTGTGTAGCATCACCCCCCTGACGGCGTACACCTGTAAATCACGGGCAAGGCACAGATCGGACACAAGTAGTACGGGTAGCTCCGGTAGCACGTATAGCACCGGTAGCACGGGTAGCACCGGTAGCACGTAAGCACCGGTAGCACGTAAGCACCGGTAGCACGGGTAGCACGGGTAGAACGGGTAGCACGGGTAGCATGGGTAGCACCGGTAGTACGTATAGCACCGGTAGCATGGGTTGCATGGGTAGCACGGGTAGCACCGGTAGCACGTATAGGACCGGTAGCACGGGTTGCACGGGTAGCACCGGTTAGCACGTATAGGACCGGTAGCACGGGTTGCACGGGTAGCACGTGGTAGCACTGGTAGCACGGGTAGCATGGGTAGCACGGGGAGCACCTGGCAGCACAGGTAGCACGGGGCAGCACAGGAGCTCGGGGCAGCACGGGGAGCACGGGGCAGCGCAGGAGCACGGGGCAGCACAGGAGCACGAGGCAGCACAGGAGCACGGGGCAGCACAGGAGCACGGGGCAGCACGGGGAGCACGGTGCAGCACAAGAGCATGGGGCAGCACAGGAGCACGGGGCAGCACAGCAGCACGGGGCAGCACAGGGAGCACAGGGGGGAGCAGCGGCAGGAGGAGCAGGCAGGACAGGGGGGGAGTGGTGGCACCGGGGGAGCCGGCGGTTGATGCAATTGGGGCTGGGGTTCGGGAAACTGGTTTACGGGAGGGTGCTGCTGCTGTGAAGCCAGGTTTGACGCTGCGGGTGGAGACTGATGTGGCTGTAGTGGCTGATTTGACGAAGGCGGGGCGGGAGACGCACTGGCCTGCTGCCGGGACCGTAGCCGCCTCTGGCGACGGCTTAATCCCGCCCGCTGCGGAGCTGCCGGCGGCGGCGACGCCGCCACCTTCGGACGGGGTCTGGCTGCGAAGGAGGAACAGGTGGAGCGAGGGTTGGCTGATTCACTGGCGCCAGCGGTGACAAATTCCCCGTCAACTCTTGAGGAGTCTGAGATTGCTGCGGTCGTAGCCGAGGCAGCGAGGCAACAAGAACAACCCCCGAGCGAACCGTCTGCGCCGACTGCCGCTGAGTTCGCCGGAACGCCTACTGCTGCCCCGGCCGCAAGCACGCACGAGCACGGCCGGGCGGAGGGTGGAAATGAGGGTCCCGCGATCGTCGTCGCTTCCGCTGCCGCCCCGGCGAGGAGGAAGACGAAGCTTCGCGCCAAGCCAGCGCCGAGGCGGCTCGGAGCAGGGCTGGGACCTGGGGTCCCGGGACCCCTCCTGGGCTGGCTTCGGCAAGGGCAGTCGCCACCAAGGCAAACGCGTTTGTTGTCATCTGCACCACAGCCTGCAATGGGACCCAGCGCGAGGAGCAACACGGGTGAGGCTGACTAAGCACAACAGGGAGCCGAGTAGTCAAGTCACATGCAACAGCCGATGGAAAGACCACCCTCGACCCAGCAGGCAACTCACCGGGAAACACGGAGCTCGACGAGGGGCAGGGGAATCGTGTGGGGCAGGCCGTCAGGGACGGGACGAGCGACTATGGCGACCCCCTAGGTCCCAGCTGGTAGGGGTTTTAGGGCTGCGCAGGACAGAGCGAGGGGCGGCGGCGCTGGCGTACCCTTCGCGATACCCCGCGGAAGAAGAGGGGGAAAGGGAGGGACACGCGGAGGGAGAGTTCCACTTCTGGGAGGAGAGGCTGCGATTGTGAGATCGAGCACGTGACGTGATCACCACGACTGCCCAGATAGAGTGGATACGCCTGTGAATGGGGGCGAGTATGGTTCTGAGAACTCTCAGAATGGGAGCGACTTTATCCCGTCACACTCAGAGGCATCGGAGGAGGTCTCCCTGGGCGAGGATGAGAACCAACATGTGTTAGCGCAGAGTCGAGTGAGGAGGGGGGAGCAGGGTGGTATGCCACAACCTTCCAACATGCCAGCAGGACAGGCTGCAGATGCGCCACCACAGCCATCTGAGAAATCACCTGCTGACTTGGCAAAGGATGAGTCTATCTGGCACCTGGCTAGCACTTGGGACATCGCACCACTCCAGTGTGCGGACCAACCGTATTTGGTGAGGCGGTTGCCCCCAAAGATTCTGGAGAGCTACACCATGTGTCTTGTGGCCGAATGGAGTTGGGGCTGGGCCCTCTGGCACCTGTTTCGAGCATTTGAAGGACCCAGCCCACTACATTGAGGAAATCCTCCTACTTCTAACCAAGGTCGTCCGCCAGTTACTCAACAACGCACAGACGAGAGAGATACGAGACATACTCCTCCCGTCTCGGTTGATAGTACTCGAGAAGCCAGGGGGGGCGTGAGACCCATTGCTATAGGGGAGGCCCTACTTAGGGTAGCAGCGAAAGCGGCATTACGCGAGTTAGCACCAGCGATTCGCGAATTCTTCCTCCCCGTCCTGTACGGCGTGTCAGTGCCTGGTGGGGCCGAGTGCGTCATTCACACTGTACGGGCCCTGCTCCGAGAACAAGATCACTACGTCGCGCTTCAGCTGGACGTAGAAAACACGTTTAACTCGGTTGAGCGTGAGGCCTTTTTCTCGGCGTTAGAAATCTCAGACCTGCACCAGCTGCTGCCGTTTGTCGGAACGCTATATGACTCGCCCTCGCGTCTTCTAGTTGACCCGGCCCTAGGAGTCGAGCACATCATGAGCTCCCGCGGCTTGCGTCAGGGCGATCCCCTCGGCCCTCTCTTGTTTGCAGCGGCGATTCAGCCGACCCTGATGTGCGCAATGTCTTCTCACCCAGAAGCAGCCGTCATAGCGTACGCCGACAACATCACGGTGGTGGGACCACGGGAGGATGTGTTCAAGGCCTTCGACGCTATCGTCACAGAGCGGGCAAAGCGCGGGCTGCGGTGCAACGTGGCAAAGTCATCGGCATGGGGACCGCGGGAGAGAGATGAGGGGCGGATCGGACCGCCACATGGATTGCGGATGAGTACAGAGGGGATCAAGGTGCTTGGCAGCCCCATCGGCACGCCGGAGTACTGCACCACAGAGATCCGAAAGGCGCTCTCCAAAACATCAGCACCTGTCCCTCTTATCACGCAGCTGCACCCACAACACGCCCTGCTACTACTCTCCCGCAGCATCTCATGCAGGATCTCATACCTGCTCCGCACCACACCGAGCAGCGCATTGGAACGGGAGGAGTGGAGGGCGTGGAGCGAGTCACTGGTAGGGGCGGCGCTTACTGCAGCCAAGCTTCGGATCCCGGCAAGTGAGCTGGAGCAGAGCCTCTTGTGGCCACAAGCAACTCTGCCCGTGCGCCTTGGGGGGCTGAGCATCATTGATCCCGTCTCCGAGGCACCAGCGGCGTATATTGCGTCCCTGACAGCAGCACATCACCTACTACAGCAGATGAACTTGCGGGAGCAGGAGCTGTTGGCGCGGGCGGAGACGCTGCTGTCCAGAGAATGGGCCCCCCCGCCCCCATCGTCAAACGTGCTGGTGACCCTGGAGGAGAGGCTGCCGGCGGAGGCACGGATGGCACTACAGTCCTACAGGGAAGGCCCTCAGGGGCAGGGCAACCTGCAGCTTCTCTTGTCCAAGCACATCAACGTGGTTCGGGCCAGGGAGCTGCTGGCTGATACTTTGGTTGACAAACCAGGGGAAGACCAGAGGCACGGGGTCCGGCTGGTCAGTTTGAGGGGGGTAGGAGCCGGGGATTGGCTACACGCAGTGCCGACGAGATCTGACCTTACATTTGCCCCTGGTCAGTTCTCGTTGGCACTCGGGTTCCGCCTCGGGATGGCCCTACCAGTCACGGTCAAGTGTCCCTGTAAACGCGACAACTCGAAAATCAAGGATACTAGCCTGGCAAATCACCTGCTCCGGTGTGGGGAGGGAGGGGATGTGGTGAGGACGCACAATGCCCTGGTCTACACAGCTCTGAGATTGGCAAGGGAGGCAGGCTTCAATACCTTCCATGAAACGTCGGTGTTTTCACCCCGTGTCCACCGCAAGAGGGCAGACCTTGCATTCCAGGGCAAAGAATCAGCGGAGACTTGGGTCACGGATGTAACAGTGACAGACCCGGTGCTGCAGAAGCGGGACCCTAGGGTGCGAAAGCCGCCTGGGTGTGCTGCCAGGGAAGCTTCCGAGAAGAAACATCGCCTGTATGATGGCCGCCCCGACTACGTGGGGTGCTTTGGCCTTGCAGCTGAAACTTACGGGGCGCTGGCGACAGATACAGTGCAGTTTCTTGAGCTGTTAGCTGTAGCCACAGCGAGGAAGAAATTCAGGCAGGGGCCGCTTACTACCACAACCTCCCGCCTAAATGCACACTACCGTCAACGCTGGTCGGTCATGCTGCAGCGTTCCCAGGCGATTTCTTTCCGTAACAAGAGCAACATGGCGGCCGAGGCGGCCTTCCCCCAAGCACCTACGGACCCCTGGGAGCCGAGCCTGGGGGATCTCTGGCAGGTGCTCGATGACGACCTTGCAAGAGTGTAGGCGCAGCCAGGGATGAAGCAGGGGTGGTAGGTTGGAGCGGAGCTGGCCTGAGCAGGAGGATTGGAAGACCTAGGCGGCCCAATGGCAGCACCAGGCTGCTCTAGCGGTGGCCACTTGGCAGGCTGGTTAGCTCTTCATTGCTGGTTTTGTTTTGTTTTGTTTTGTCTGCATGTTTGCTTACCCGCCCACCAGGTTGCCCGCCTAGGATAGCCTATCAGCCAAAATCACGACCTGCATGCCTGTGCCCTTCCAACAACATTAATGCATGACCGCTTGAGAGAGAGAGAGAGAGAGAGAGAGAGAGAGAGAGAGAGAGAGAGAGAGAGAGAGAGAGAGAGAGAGAGAGAGAGAGAGAGAGAGGGATTGGGAGCACATGTTGCTGCCCGCAGACATCACCACGCCTCTCCACGCGTAGCTTACTAAATGTGAAGCGGCATTACCCCTTGACGCACGGGAAATCCTGGAGAAAGAGCGGCTGGAGCGGTCACACATTAGACTCCAGCACGTCTTGGCACTGAAAGTACATGAGAGCAGATATGCCGTACAGGTTAAGGCGACACGACAGATGACACTGAACCCTTTGTACGGCCACATGCAACGGATGTTCTCGCTGACCGGTTACGGGACCGGGGATTGGCTGACGGCTATCCCCATTGCGGCAAACAGGAGGATAGGGCCCATTCACTTTTCCAATGCCGTGCGTTTTCGGCTGGTTCTCCCCTTCTCTATGCCAAAATACTGCGACTGTTCAGACCACACTGCTATCACAGACCCCCCCCTCCCAAACCACCTTCTCCGCTGTGGAATAGGCAAGCACCGCATCAACACCCATAACGAGCTACGGGACGCTTGTATTAGCATGGCGCAGGATGCGAGGTTCATTGTTCACAGCGAGGCAACGGCATACTGCCCCATTGAGGAACAGACCGCCGATTTTACGATGACAGACAGAAGCCGCGGGGCTGTCTACGCGTGCGACGTTACAATTATCGACCCAATTAGTACTAGAGACCCGGATGCACAGAAGGGCAGGGGCTGGGCGGCACGCGAGCAGGCCGACAAGAAGATCAAGCATTACGCTGCCCGGCCTGAGACAGTGAATTTCTTCCCACTGGCGGTAGATACCTACGGCTGCCCCTGTGCAGAGGTGCCAGTCTTTTTGAAACTCTTGGCGGACACTGCAGCTCGGCGCCACTTCAACGCCGACTCCAAATCATTTCGTGCTGCTAAGTTCCTGCACCAGTTTAGGCAACGGTGGTCAGTGGCCCTTCAAAGGGCCCAGTCTGTAGGACTCCTGCTCAAATTAGGGGAGGCAGTGGCAGCAGAAAACCCCCCTGTGGGGGGGATTGGGGATGAGCTGCACCTCTCCTCTCCTAGTATAGCCTAGTTGTAGGACAGTTAGGCCCCTCTCTCCTAGTGTAGCCCTAGTCCTCCGCTTATAGTGAGTAAAATCGGCCTCTTAAGCCTGAATCTGCCTTCTTGTTCTTATTAGTTGCTGGTGAGTTCATCTCCCCAATCCGGCGGCTTGCGCCGGCCGCCTACGACGGGCGCTCGACGGCGCGGCCTACAGTCGCGCGTTTAGGGGTGGCAAGACCAAAGGGATCAGGCACTATAACAGCAAGGCTTACATCATGCAACGTTGAGATAACCACCCACCACAACACCCCCAAGTGCGACCACACCTAGCATGGGGAAGCCAAGACCAGGCCAAGCACTAACAAGGCCGGGAAAGGGAAAACACCAACTACTTGGCGAGAATCAAAGCCAGCCGTCAATCCAACCAGCGCAACAGCGCTGCGGCGGCTGGTACAAGGTCGAGTGGGGCGCGACGGGCAGAAGAAGACAATCGCCTTACCGCGGAAGGCCCAGGACCAGAGCCCACCCCGGGGGAGCCAGTCTCAAGACCCATCCGCGGGAAAGCCAGCATCATCCTCTTTGCCGCCTCTACAACAATCACCCGTTCCTTCCGCGACAAAGGTGAACAAACAGCAGGCCCGCGGGCCAGATTCGCATGCAGCTGGTCGAACACTGCAGCCAGCAGCTCCAAAACAGTCCCCACGGTCGCTACGCGCTGCTAGACCCGGAAAAGACGCTCAACGGGCGGGCACTCTCCCCACCGACCCCAACGCTCGTCAAGCAGCAGAGGGGAAGAAGGGGCAGCCGGAGAAGCCGGCGGAACAGATACAGGAGCATACGACATCGGCAACACCAAAGGGGCCTGCAGCGGTAGAGACGACTGTGACTGCGGCTTGTGTGGCAAGGACTGCACCTAAACCACCTCCATTCTCGCCGCCTCCCCCCCCCCCCACACCTTCCACTATCGCGCAAACACGGCTACAGGCAGGCACGGTAGAGGGGAGGGGGCGACGAGGGTGCGCACGGACAGCGGGGAGCGTTCGGGCAACGGGGTTTTGGCGGCGGGTGGCGAGAGTAGGGTGCGTGCGGGGCGCAGACGGGCTGGTGTTGCCGACGGTCGATGGCGCAGGCAGCTGGCGGTCATTGCTGGCCGTTCGCTGCCACGCCCTTCCCTTTGCCCTCTCTCCCCACCACAGCGACCGTCTGCACATGCGAGCAGTCGCAACGAGGGGATGAGCAGATGGCGAGGTGCGTACGGGTGACGGGCGGCGAGTGGGAAGCAGGGTGCGAACAGGCGACGGGCGGGTGGCGGGTAACGCGTGAACGATGGTTGCTGGTGGGCGGTTGTCTCGCAGGCTGGCGCGTCGGTTGGCGAGTTGGCTTGCGCGTTCCTGGTGTGCGTGCTGGCAGCTGGTTGAAAGCAAGGAAGCGCTCACGAGGCGCAGTACGGGGTACGCCATGGCGAGCACTAACGGTGGGCCTATTAAAAAAAAAAAACAACGGTCCTAAATCGGACCTAGCTCTGATACCATGTCAAGATACTAACGTAGCTAGGAACCGGGGTTTTGGTAGGGCCTAGGCTTGGGAGCCTAGGCCAAGCATGTCAAGTGAGTTGCCTGCAAGGAAAGTTGGGAATGGTTGCGTTCACTATAGCACGGAGGGTACATATAGCAAACAAGCAAGGAAGAAGGTGCAACACCTACAAGAAACAGTATAACTACACTAGAGCTACAACTACATGCAGTTGCACAATGACATATATAGAAAATATATTCTGCCAGCCCACGCTGAGCTGACATTCGACGACGAAGAGGCCCAGGAGCGCGAGGAGTAGGAGTGCCAGCAGAAGGTTGGCTGGTTGCAGTTCACGGTGATGACGACGAGGCCGGACATCGCATTCGCCTGCAGCAAGCTGGGGAGTGGCCTCACGGTGAGGAGCGACCAACACTGGCGCGAGGTCGAGCGCTGGAGTTCGGCGGTTGGGCAGATATGGTGAAGTTGGTCGGCTACGTGGACGCCGACGACGCCGGCGACAAGCAGAACCGGATGAGCACGGGCGGCTACGTGGTCGTCTTCGGAGGGGCCGCCGTCTCCTGGTCAAGCCACGGCATCAAGTGCGCGACGCTCTCGTCGACCGAGTCGGAGTACGTGGCGGCCACCAAAGCCGGCAAGGAGGGACGCCGACTTCGCTTCCTCCTTGCAGAGTTCCAACTGCTGGACGTTGGGATATCGATGGTCCTTCGCGTGGACAACAAGTCGGCCGTCACTGTCGCCGAGGGCTTGGGGCTGCAGGGCAACCTCAAGCACATGGAACGGCGATATGTCTGGTTGCAGCACATAGTGAGGTGCGGGAAGTTCACGCTGAAGTACATCCCGAACATTGAGCAACCGCCGACTTTGTGACGAAGGCGCTGCACTTTCCGGCCTTCAACCGGTGCTCCGTCGCAATCGGCCAAGTGAGTCTGGCCGACGTCGGCGACAGCGATGACGATGTGCAGTAGTAAGTGTTGTACCCTTCTGCACGGCTGGTGCGGTCACCGGCATGTTGTTTGTTGTGTGCACGCCAACGACAATGAGCTTTCTCCATGTAATACTGCCATGTGGGTATGGAGCCCAAGCGTGAACGCGGTAGGGGAGTCTGCACGAGAGTTGTGTGTTGGCCCCGTCCTCACTTGGGCGGAGCCAACCTTGTGGTCGGGTGTGCGGGAGGTGCAGCCGACTGACTGCAGTTGGCGACGCTGACTTGGGCGAGCAGGTTGACGGACTTGTCGACCTGCATGGGGTTACGGCGAAGCCACCGACGACGGGAAGCCGGCGGCCGACATCGACAATGGTTGACAAAGGGAGTCGTTGACCTGGGAGGGCCCCAACCTAGGGGCGCCGACTATGGGAGCCGACTTGGCGGAGTCGGCAGACAAGCTCACGGTGGTCGACGATGGTGTTTATCGACCTGCGGAGTGGCCAACTTGGGGAAGTCTGCTGGTGGTCGCCGACTTGGAAGGTCGACGAGTACGTACAACAGTTGGTCGACTTCTACTGCGCAAGTTGACGCTGACTTGGAGATTCCCGGTCGACCAAGTTACCAGGCAACAAGGTTCTACGAGGGTGCGCAATTGTCGTCATGTTGTTCTCGCAAAGCCGACTTCGGAGGTGGTATCTCGAGGTCGATGTGGCTGATCAGGCGCAATCAACGGCACGTGGTCGACTTGACGTCTGCGTTATGCACGTGACGTTGCACGTCGCAACAGCCAACTATCTGCGAGCACCTGCGAAGTAGGTGCGCTGCTGTCACGCGGGTGCAATGCTAAACAGACGCATTGCTGTAGCGTTGGCACGCCATCGACTTGCAGCATTGGCGAGCCGCCCTCCTCCAGTGCTGGAGCGGTGCGGACTTTGCTGCGCTGGAACGCGGTCGACCATGCTGAAACACAAGCAAGCAAAGTGCCACAATCACTCCTAGGACCGTGCCTTCCCCCGTAGTCTAGCTCCCGTTATAGAGTTTACTATATCTTCGTAGTGGTGAGCCAGCAACAATGGGGTCCATTGCCCCTTCTCACTGTCCTCGTCGTCCCACTTGTGTTCGCGCCTCATCTCTTGTTCCTAGTATCCACTATATGATCCTCCGTTCTCTCCCCTTTCGTGTACTGCTCCTTCTTAGTCTGTCTCTACTCTAGTCGCTCTTGTTGCTAACTTTGCCTTCACCCGCCGACTACGCTACTCAGCTGGTCTCTGCTCTTGCCTGTCCTCCGCCCGTCAAGGGTGATCCTGCCCTTGGCAATGACGTCATAGAGGATAGGCTGTTCGAGGTGGCTTCCTTGCAGCCGCTGCTCCTCATCTCTGTGCCATGGTGCTAGCCCCTGGCGGTGACCCATATGTTGTTGACTACTCCCCTTGTGCGCGTGGGAGGCTCTGTCGTAGTAGCTTCAGTATTCATCCAAAATAATCTGATATATTCGTTCATTCCATTCTCTCTCATACAATTTATTACACTACGGTGAATATCTAGTAATGTGGTGCTACTAGATTTGTATCACCTACCTAGTGTTGGGCTGAGAAAAAGCCCTTAGGATCTTTTCAAGGCTAGAACTCATTGTAGGAATGTTGTAATTGCGGAAGCGTTTAATGAGAAGTATTGAACCACCTTGCGCTAGTGTGTGAGGGCAAGATAGATTGATTATAGAAAGAAGTACAAGCTTTTTATAAGATTACAAGGGAATACGAAAGGTTTGACTAACTTCTTATTGTAACTGCAATTGTAACTGCTGCTGTTGCGGTTCGATACAGTGACGACTCGGGCAACTGCTCAATATCGAGTCAGTTGTTTGTCCTTGCTGTCGCGCTGTATTTGTCGAGTCAAAGGTCGCTGACCTTTGACCTTCGCGTAACCTCCGGCTCTTACCTTTTTGTCAACCTCCTCGGTTGACTCGCTGTTGCTGCGCTGTAGTTCGCCTCGTTTACAGTTCGATGTTGCGACACACAAGAAGCGTTAAATCATTTGTTTCCAACACTCCCCATCACAAAAAACCTTTGTTTTTGAAGGAGGTTCGGAGGGGGGTACAGTTCAGGTGTTTTGGTTGGCGAAGTTCCGAAACAAAATCGCGACCAATCACGGAATGAATTCGGACCGCATTTATTTGTTGGAGTCGAAATCGAATCCGCGACTCCGGTACATTGTTGTTTATTTGGAGCGTGCCAAATTTGGGATCCATTTGTAATTGGTTTTTTTTGTTTTGATTTATGTAAAATGTGAATGCTGGCAAACTAAACTGGTCATTTTACTGTCCAGATGGAATGCCTTCACCACATGGACGTGGCGGAGCAGCGCTTCAATCGGAATCACAGAGTACGCGTACATTCCCGTTGTCCACTTGAGGCGAAGGCATCCGGTTGCAGCATCCTCTCCGCTTGCATTCCAATATCTAACGTAAGCCAGCTCCTCCCTCTCTCCACGTATTTTTGTATGGAACAACAGAAGCAACCTTGCATACCACTCCTCTCTCCGACCATACCTTACACCCTCCACTGCAACATCGAGTACCACGACCTCTCAAAATAGTCAGGGGTCGCTCGAACGAAGTGAGAAACTCTTGAGAAGCTGGCGTCGTCTGCTGCAGGGATTGCCAGCGATGCATAGGCCTGCATAACAGTGGATGTTAGTCATGTATAATACAAGCTAGCCAGATGACGATTGATTGCATAAGCTATCAACTACCGTACTTACTCGAACCTTGGTGACGCATCCTGCAGAACGTATAAGCGCATCCTTGAGGGCAGCTTGGGCACCAGGGTGTTGCTTGGCCCTTCCTTGCAAACCAGTTGGTAGAGGTGGGGGTTTCTGGTAACTCCACATGGAGTGTGTCGGTGTGTCGGTCTCAATTGCCTGCCAACATATGCTAGTGATATTATTACACTCTGCATTCATATCCATGCAATTCAAGCACTAAACAAATTTACCTGCCACATGGCGGTGTCCCGGCCAGCAGGATCATCCACCGGCACCACATCCGGAATGCGCCTAGCATGGAACTTCATGATCTGCCCATCTACATTGCGCTTGTTGGACCGACGGTAAATCCGCTTTACCAACGGACCGTGCAAGTGCTCAAACATGTTGGTGCTGAATTCGGTCACATGACCCGCGCGGCGAATGGAGTCGATGTAGTGCGACATGAGATGTGTTTTCACAAGCCACCAAGAGGATGGCTGCTTGGGGAAGGCAGCCTGCAACTGCTCAACGAGCCTGGTGGGAGTGGGAGATACAACACATGCAATCACATCAGAGTCTACTTATTCATATTGTTTGGCGGGTCCTAATCCTATCCTATACTAGTTTAGCAGCAACGTTTACAGATTGCCTACTACAAGAGCACATTTATAGTAGCCACGCAATCATCCCATGCACATGGGTTTACATGCATGGTATTAGTACCTGGAGGTCATCTTCTTCAGCTCCCGGAGGGACCGCTCAGTGTGCCCCTGTGGCTGGGAGCACAGGAGGTACCAGCCAAGGTAGGCACGAACAGCATCCATCTGGGGCTGGCGAAGCAGGCCGGCAAAAAAAACACACCATGACCTGCAAGGTTCATAGATAGCAGCACAGGAGAGGGTGAGCGCAGATGGTGTGAGGAGTAGGGAAAAAGAGGTGGCAGCATGAGCAGACTGGTAGAGGGGCGGTCATGACAAGCAACAGGGAATGGAGGGGGGGGGGGGGCAGGCAGCAGGGTGTGTGGGTTTAACATGGATTCTGGGTGCTGTGTGTATCGGGTGCAGCCTATCGCACAAGACGTTAACATTCACGGCTATCATACCTGCATGACGGCCCTGTGCTCATAGGCCGCGACACAGGCTCCGGTCTCGAAGTAGGTGCTCTCCGGCAGGCGCATGTGATTCAGGCGCGTGCGGTCGCGAATGAGTGACAGGCGCCTGCCCATACACATCAGTTTAACGCAAGGGCAGAACCATGTCAGGGAGAGCACAACACTTGTACTTTGTGTAAATGTGACCGAGAGCAACGAATCCAACCCCCATCCAACACTGACCTGTCCATCTGCTTCACACGCCGCTTCTTCATCTTGCGCACGACAGCCACAATGTGGCTCATGATGCCCAGGTCCGCCTGGTGCATAATGTCAGGCATGACCACGAGGTAGGGATTGCCCCACACGGTCCCTGGGACATCCCACTTCCAGAGCACGCACTGGAAATGGGGATGCGGAAAGGAATGAAGGAGAAATGTACATGTGAGTTGGGATACACCATATGTGGGGTGAGTTCAATGGGACAGAGCATATCTGGCAATTCATGATGGGGCGGGCGAGTGCATAGACGGCACATTAGCCACGAAAACACATCACTCACCTCAATAGGGTAGGTAGAGTAGGTCTTGCACGGGTTGTCCTGGCTATTTATCGTCCCAGCCGCCTCGTTAACGATCCATTGCTGCTGTTCAGGCGTGCGCGGCGTGTTCCGTGCCTTGACAGCCCCCAGATGCTCCTGGTGTAGCACGAGGGTGAGGGATGGGATATGAAGGTAAGGGTGGTAACTACATGGAGTATATCAGGCCACACTAAAACCAAAATGTATTCAAATGCGTGCACATTCCATATTAACTCACCTTTGCAGCATAGCAGATGCTGCGCGGCATCCGCAACCCATGCGAGAGTGTGCAACTGATCTTGCCGCTCTCGGGGTAGTCGCACACCCAGGCGTACAGCAGGGGCCACACGGTTTGCCAATCACCGAAAGGGTCCCTGAGTCGGAACCCGCTGCATGGGATAGGCAGAGTGGCAACAGGAATTCGGAGGACGGTTTTTAGGGAGGAACACAGATGGGCATTGGGGCAGGCAACATACAGAGACGCTTTGCATACTCTGCAGGTGGTTGGATGACGACATAGCAAGATGCAACCCGAGTACGAACCTTGCAATGCCATCAAGAAGCGGCTGCAGCACGGTGATGACGCATCTCTGGAAGAGCATCACCTTCTCCACGGCAGACATTGCAGACGGGGGGATAGGAAGGAGGGCAAGTAGTGTGTGCCTGGCTTCCCCCCTTCGCTTGTCCTGGGCAATGTTGGCAAGCGTCATCATGAGCGGCCACGCCTTCTTCCGGCCGTTGTTGCTCATGTGCGTCACATCCGAATACAGGATGATTCCCCCCACAACTTCGGACCATCCGAAGTGTTCCTGCAATGCATGACAAAGCGGCAACGGACACACGGTCAAACACTCAAGATGTTCCAGACACATCAGTGCATCGATGGAGGCATGAGCAAGGATCGGGATTGGCGTGGCAACGAGGTATTTCCTTACCTGAGCATCATTCCACCACGTTCCTGTTTCGGGCGTGGTATAGCGACGGTCGCCCGTGTCAGGGTCCTCATCAACACGAGCCTTGAGCTTGAAGCCAGGCACATCGTTGGGATGCCGAAACATTTCTGCGAATGCCTGGTGTACGGTGGTGAAGGCAGGGGAGAGGAGGGGCATGGTTAGTGGCGGAGAAAGTGGGAGTATGGTTAATACAATACACGCTAACCCCGTTTGCCACATCAGCATTTCACAGCCCAGAATTAAGAGTCGGCTTACCTGGGCAGAGTTTTGGAAGAGCAGGCGCTGTGGTGGATGACCGGCAATCTCAAAGGTCGCCACTGACCATCCGCAATTGAGCCCTGCCAAGCGCTCCAACTCGAACCGCTCCAGATCCTTACAGTTCCGGAGCTCCGAGGTCACAAGAGGCGCAAGGCCGGGCTCTACCACGAGCTGAAGCAGGCCGTTGATGTCAACCTCGGCCATTCCCATTCCGCCATTCGCGCGCCGAACGAAATGCAGCAGCTTCAACGCGAGCGGATTGAGGGGCGTGGCATTGCTCTGTCCGGAGCTGATTGTCGGCGGCGCGGCATTATTACCTTCGGGGCGGCGCTCAGGATGGCCACTCTTGTCAGCCGCAGGTGTTCCAGGTTGATGTTGATGTTCATCTTCAGGAGCCCCCTCGTTCACAGCCGTGGGATTTTCGTCAATGTGAGCTTCAGGCACGCTTGGAGGACCGCTCTCACCGATGGCGTTGGATGCGTTAGACGCTGTAGGTGTAGCGGGAGCGGCTGGAGCGTCCGACAGAATGTCGTGGACGAATAGCAGAGCGTGTAGACCGGCTGACGGTGCAGATCGCGAGGGCCTTGCCACGGCGGAAAGCCCTTGACAAGGGGTCCGCCGTGACTTATGACCGCCATAAACTTGGGCGTTGGGGAACCATCTGTTGCAGAGCTCGCAAACGACGCCTGGCAAAGAGCCCATGTGTTACGGATCCGTCTTAGTGTCGAGATTTGGCCTGTGAAGCAACGAGCGTCGTGGGAAGCTTGTGAACGCATTAAATACACCGTCATCGCCAAACCGCCAAACCGCGCACAGTCCAAGGCGGCTTGTATCACTGCACGACTAGCACTTGAGCGGGCCGCTCATGTTTGGGACTGGCTAACGATGTTCGAGCCGCGCGGTCGTGACAAGGCACGGTACAGACCGCTCACAGCACGGATCGTCTTCCCTACAAGGCGTGTCGCCCCCGTTTAGATCGACCACGACGTGAGCAAGGAGAATGCGCTGGATCTTAAGACGGTGGGTCGTGTGTCTGCGTCGCGAGCATGGTGAGAAGGGCGTGCTTGTTGATTCAAGAACTTGGGTGCGTGACAGTCGAGGGGTATGAGGAAGAGCGGGAAGAGATCCGTTTGGATCTGTGATTCAGTCGCGAATCGTTGTAGGGGGGAAATCGCGGTCACGTTAGTGAGCTCAAAGTGGTGCGCACGTCTAGAGCCTTAATACAAAGCAGAGATTACATTGTACATTTACATTTTATCCATACACTCAAGTCTTTGTTGATAACTATTATGCAATCATATGAAAAAGCCTGCTCAAGATCCACCCATACTTGACAACGTGAAAGTTTAAAAACCGTCCAAGATCTCTAGTGTGCTCTGGAAACATACGGGAAGTACACAAGAACTCCGTGCCCTAATGATAACGCATCGCCGCTTGTGCGTTGGGCCTGTGCTTCATACCACTCCTTCTAAGCACCTACTTGAATGTCCGTGCAAGGTTGGATGACAATCCAACACCATACCACAACGGATTCACCATGTCGCGCAACACTCAAGGCCCGAACGCTGCAACATCGCACTGTCTAGACACTGCTGTCGATAACGCATCGCCGCTTGTGCGTTGGGCCTGTGCTTCATACCACAACCTCCATGCACCTTGTCGAGGGTCCACGCAAGAATTGAGCCCCATCCAACACCATTACACAACGGATTCACCATGTCGCGCAAGCCATGGCCGTGCACGCTGCAATGTCGCCCAGTCGGAACAGCTATGTCGATAACGCATCGCCGCTTGTGCGTTGGGCCTGTGCTTCATACCACAACCTCCATGCACCTTGTCGAGGGTCCATGCAAGTATTGAGCCACATCCAACACCATTACACAACGGTTTCACCTTGTCGCGCAAGCCATGGCCGTGCACGCTGCAACGTCGCCCCGTCGGAACAGCTACGTCGATAACGCATCGCCGCTTGTGCGTTGGGCCGGTGCTTCATACCACTCCATCTAAGCACCTACTTGAATGTCCGTGCACGGTTGGATGACAATCCAACACCGGACTACAACTGTTTATCGTTTGTTACTATTAATCGTCGCATTAGAATATCGCATGCCGGCGAGTACCCGGTGTGGCAAAGCCTACAAGTGTGCTGTACTACCACCACAACAAACCCTTCTGGAGGCAAGAAAAGTGTGTGTGACATGAGACAAACCCACTAACGGCTGCAACCCCATACTATACTATTAGGAAAAAAGTTGTTGATGTTTTTTGTTGTTGTATTTTTTGATTTTTTTTTAGCATACAGCAGTGTACAGAACAGTGCTGTGCGTTCGCGACAGCACTGTACTTTGCAGGGATCAGGTAACATTCGCACTTGTGGTCCTAAAACCGTCATACCATGCGTAGTGATCGATGCGTTGGCAACCGTTATTGGCCGATGCATTTCAAACGATTCCCCACGCAACACAAGCTCCAGCCAAGAGGTACTTCCACCATTAAGCGGCTGTGATCGACCGGTGGGTGGGTTTATGCTCGGGTGGCTACACGTACACCGTCCGATATAGCCTGATAGGGTACAGTAATCCCTCCAGTCTCGCAACCCACCCCAACCACCCTCGTGCCCCACCCACCTGCTTCCGTCACCCTCTGGGCCAACACATTGACGCTGCTCGCTGTTTGACAAGCTCGTGTCCAGATCGCCCGTGACGGGGCCAGTATACTAAATCATGGGCCGTGGCTCTGTGCTTAGTGGCTACAACTTCAGTTTTAGTCAAATCTGCGGTTAACGGAGAAAGACCGTCAATAGTCCCTTTGTGGGAGTCAGTTGCGGCACCCCTTGGAAACCGGCTAACCCGTTCCGCGCGATAGAAATTGGCATTCCGCGGAACAACCATGACAAGTGCAACACGTCTACAAGCAATGGAGGAGGAACAGGCCGGACGCCGCGCGACAAGGACGATGTCTAAGCAGAACGATAGGGAGGGTGGCGCCGGCGCCAAAAAAACTAATGCGTCCATCGCGCGTGGCAAGGGGATGAAAAAAGTGGCGGCAAAGAAGGTCGCGCGCGGTCAAGAGAAGTCCGACAGGAAGGCGGAAGACAACGGGAAGCAACCAACGGCACGCAAGCGTGTTTCTACAGTGAACAAAGAGGCGGATCATGCCTCTGCTGGAACCGAGCCCGGTCCGACTAACGACGGGACCAGTGGCGGCAACGAAGATCCGGGGCGAGGGAGCGCAAGTCTTGCAGTCCCGTCGGCGGAGAGAGAGGGATCGGCGACAGAGGGAAACAACGGAGGCGATCCCTGCGACGAGCATGCCGCAACCAAGGAGTCCGAGGCGGAGGCATCACAACAGCATCTGATGTTGCTCCAGCCGACCGTGGTCGAAATTTCTGCTGCCGTGCTGGATAAGGACAAGGTGGAGGCGCACGAGTCGATGGAGGATCCTAACCAGAGCATCGCCGGCGCCGGTGGCTCTCCTCCTTCTGGTGGACGGGGGAGACGTAGGCAGAGGAAGAGCGATGAGGAGGACGAGTATGACACCGCCGTGCCCGGAGACATCACCACGCGGGCGAAGAGGCGGCAGACGACAGGCAGTCCGCGCGACGCCGGTGACGGGGAAGCACAGACAACGCGAGGCGCCAGTGAAGCTGGTGGCAAGGCGACGGGTCATGCATTGTGCCAGAAGGGCTGACCCGCAGCAAGAAAAGCATCTGACGGAAAGAGGGGCAAGAAAGCAGTGAAGAGGACAAGGCCGAAACGGGGCGATGAAGACCCTGGTGACGCCGAGGAGAGGATGATGAGGAGGAGGATGCGGAGGAAGAGGAAGATGAAGAGGATGCGGAGGAGGATGACGCGGATGTTGGGGAGGATGAAAATGATGAGAACGATGGCGGGGAGGACGAAGAGGAGGAGGATGAGGATGAGGACAAGGAGGGCGGCGACGATGATGATGATGAGGAGGAGGAGGAGGAGGAGGAGGAGGAGGAGGAGGAGGAGGAGGAGGAGGAGGAGGAGGAGGAGGAGGAGGAGGAGGAAGATAGGGAAGGAGGAGGAGGAGGAGGAGGAGGAGGAGGAGGATGAGGAGGAGGATGAGGAGGAGGATGAGGAGGAGGAGGAGGAGGAGGAGGAGGAGGAGGAGGAGGAGGAGGAGGAGGAGGAGGTTGAAGAGCAGGGGGATGACGATGAAGAGGATGAGGGTGAAGGAGGAGGAGGAGGAGGCAGAGGAGGAGGAGGAGGAGGCAGAGGAGGAGGAGGAGGAGGAGGAGGAGGAGGAGGAGGAGGAGGAGGAGGAGGAGGAGGAGGAGGAGGAGGAGAAGGAGGAGGCGGACGTGGCAGCAGTGAAGGGACGGGGCGGGCGTGGCAGACGGCAGAGTGTTACAGGAAAGGTGGGGGGCCGGACTCGCCATTCCCGAAAACGCGGGGCAGCTGACGCCGCGCGCTGCGAAGCAGGTGGCAAACCGAAGGCGCGTAAGGTGAAGGTCGAAAGTGAAGTGAAGGGGGTGGTAAAAAGCAAGGGCGCCAGGGAGCAAAAGGGGATGGAGGAGGAAAGGGTGGCCGCGCCAAAGGGGTTCCAGTGGGTACTGGCAAGACTGAACCTGCCGTTAAACGTCGCAGCGGCCGCCAAAGCACCCCGCGGAAAGGTGGCAACGAGAAGGCGCTGGCAGCAAAAAAACCGAAGGGACAGCAGAAAGGTGAGCACCCTGGCCAATACACCTGGCGTGGTTGTTGTACTCTCTGCTCAACCGTGCCAAATAACACCATTCTTCACGTTGTTTCTCCCATGCAGAAAAGGAGAAGGTCGACGAATCTGCAAAGCAAGGTAAAGCCTCTTGTCTCTATACAGTATACGAGGAAACCCGAATTAGATTCAAACCATTGATCTCATGCATGACTGGCTGGCCCTCTATTGATACCGATCGACTCTAAGTTCTTGATCCTACTCCCTCTCAATCTCAGCCCCTCGCGTTACAGGCATTGGGCCACCGGTAAGCGTGCAACGGATGCAGCTAACGAAGGGGGCCGGAAGAGCGAGTGTTACACCGCTATCCACAGGAGCACCAAGGTTCTTCACGCCATACTCCGGCCCTAGCATAGTCGCTGTGACGGTACCCGGCGCGGCTACAGGAGAGGAATCCGAATCCCCTCCACCAGCCCCCGTCACGCACTCCCCACTCGCCTCTCCCTCTTACCCATTTCGGCCACTACACGCTTCTCCTGTCCGGGGCAGGGCGGTCTCCCCCCTCGCCGGTCCTTCGCGCGGGCATCAGCCAAGCACTTCTGCCAATCCCTTCCCTGAGCTCCCCTTTCCCCGCCAGCGTGATAGTGTGAGGGCACACGGGACTGCTGCAGAAGATGCTGAAACCCTTGGCCAGAGGGGGGATTCTTGGCACCCTTTTCCACCGCTCATGGGTGCCCTAGGTGAAAGTGCGGAGCACGAGCAGTTTGTTACACGGGATGAGTTCCAGGCGCTGCGGTCTGAAAAGTACGCCATGTTTGCACAGCTCGGCCTGCGTCCTGGAGTACCTGCCAGTTATGCTGGCGGTTCCGCAGCCATGCCTATGGCTGGCACCCCGCCTATGGCTGGTACCCCGCCGCCGATGAGTGCCGTGGACAAGGCACGAGTGCTAGTGTTGCGGGAGACAAACCCATTCCCGGTATGTGGCGGGCCAAATGGGCCGGGTTGGGGTTCACGTGACTACCGGGATGTTTGGCTTGGGGCTGACGTGGCGGCGTAGAAGGGTATACGGGAGCGGCGCGTGACGAGGCGACGCGTGTCAGGTGGGTGGGGGGTGACGTGGCATGGGGTGGGTGGGTGTGACGTGGCAAGTGGGGCTGGTTGCTGGTCGACGTGGCGGATGCAGGAGGGTGTGACGTGGCGGGATGTGAGGCTTGGGGCTAACGTGGCGGCGTGGAAGGGTACACGGGAGCGGCACGTGACGAGGCGACGCGTGTCAGGTGGGTGGGGGGTGACGTGGCATGGGGTGGGTTGGTGTGACGTGGCACTTGGGGCTGGTTGTTCCCTGACGTGGCGGGATGTGAGGCTTGGGGCTGACGTGGCGACGTGGAAGTGTACACGGGAGCGGCGCGTGATGAGGCGACGCATGTCAGGTGGGTGGGGGGTGACGTGGCATGGGGTGGGTTTGTGTGACGTGGCACTTGGGGCTGGTTGTTCCCTGACGTGGCGGATGCAGGAGGGTGTGACGTGGCGGGATGTGAGGCTTTAGGCTGACGTGGCAGCTTGGAAGGTTACACGGGAGCGGCGCGTGACGAGGTGACGCGGGTCAGGTGGGTAGGGGGTGACGTCGCATGGGGAGGGTGGGTGTGACGTGGCAAGTGGGGCTGGTTGCTGGTGGACGTGGCGGATGAAGGAGGGTGTGACGTGAAAAGTTCACACAGTCCACCCTGTGGTAACGCGGCCACAGTCATAACTGATGGTTTCTCTCTCCTCATGTCGTGTTGTATACCCCACACCCCTGCGCAGAACAAAGCCTACTTAGTGTGCTCTCAGCTCCTATTTCTGAACCCCCCGGAGAAAATCTAGTACTACCCTGCACCGGAGGAAGTGTTCGAGGCGTTCGCTGTCCACTTGTCTGCAGAAGGGCTAGAGTCAATGAAGCTGCTGTGGTTGCACAACGACAAGTCAACCATGGGTGTCTTCAACCACCACATGTCGTCAACCAGGTCAACAATCAACACCACCCTCAGGCCAGCAGCATACGCCGACATGGGCCTCTCCGATTACGTCAATGTGGTGGATAGCCTGCCCACTGAGCTACACCCAAAGAAGTGGTTCAACGACGAGGAACTCCTGGCCGAGTACAGAGATGGTATGTGCGACTCGAACACACCATATCCCCCCTGCCCATATGCCAGTTGGCAGCTACAAATAGTCGTGCGGTGTTCCTCACCCTGACTCTCACCCCCCCCACTTGATTTCTCTGCACCCCTTTTCCAACCCATACGCTCCCTTCCAAAATGCAGAACAGTGGGCCCTCAACTGAACAAGGCCACCGGAACACCCTTCAGCAACCCCTTGTTTGCTTATGCGTTCAAGCTCTCCTTCAAGAGGGGCGGGGTCGTGTTCACCAAGTTCAAGAGCCGCATGGTGGCATGGGGCCTGTTTTCGGTAAGGATGTAGATATGTGTTCGTACACCCATGCCTCATCTCCTAAACCCATTTCCTGTACTTCATCTAAATCCCTGGTCGCTTAGGCGTTTGCGGTTACGTAGGGTGTGTCGTCTTCACCGCTTTCAGTTGGCTCATATACCCGTAACCCCCCCTCATACACCATCAACCCAAACCTACACCACATTGCAGATCGAGTGGCCCCTTCTGCAGGATAAGCGTCGCAAGCGAATTCCGGCCCAGCCGGAACAAAACAGGCCGGACTACTTCGAATGGTGTGACAAGGTCAAACAGATGATACACTTTGCCGTCGTGGAGCGGCGGATCCCACACGATCCGGCTCAGGGTGCGTTCGTCTTCCCGAACAAGTTCCTCATCGACGATGGCGACCTTGGAGATGTTGTTCTTGCCCACCGGGCGCTTGCAGAGCCCAGCATTGCGTAGGCTATTTGACCTGGTGCTAAAACTTCTGGTTGTTAGAATGCTGAATAATGGTTGTTGTAAACTGGAATATTGAATGTGATTCTGAAATCCTCAATACCCAAAATAAAACAAAAACAAAATCCAGATTTAAATAATTTGGTCACGAAATTGCACCAAAACGAATTGCGCCCGAATGTCATCCGGAAAAGCTCGCGTGCCAGATTGGAACTTGACCCGAGCCAAGCCTTGTCGCGAGATGTGTGTCGGAGCTCCTATCAAATGACTCCAACCGTCGGTCAAAATTGAGTACGGATTTTTTTACGCTAAGATAATCCCAATCAAAATTCGTCCAAACTTGGAATAGAGTTTTTTTGTGATGCCCTTCGCTTCTGGAGTGTCGTTGCTGGTGACGTGGCCTTGTCCAGTCAGCAGCATGCAGTACCCGAACTTCTGTTTTCCAAGTTTCTTGGTCAAGCAGTCGGCTGCCATCTCGGACGTGGGACAGTAGGATAGCTCGAGTCTCCCCTTCTCGATCTCGTCTTTTACGAAGAAATATCGCAGGGCGATATGCTTTGTCCGGTTCGCGAACCCGTTCTTGTTTGCTAGTTTGCGAAGGTACAGGCCTTCCTTGGTGGCTGAGCAGAGTGCAATATATTCTGCTTCAGCTGAGGAGAGAGGGATTTATTCCTGTTTGCTCGACTGCCACGAGATAGGCCCGATAGGTTCGAGTCGGTAGTTGTAGCCAATGCAAGAGCACCTACTGTCGGAGTTGCCGGCGTGGTCGGCGTCCACGTAGCCAATCAGCTTAGGTGCCGTAGTTCCTGTTTTGTGGTAGGTTAAACCGATGGTTGGGGTGCTGGTGAGATAGTGGAGTGCACGATCGAGTTCCGCCATGTGTTCTGCTTCAGGTTTCTTGAGGTAGGTGGCGAGCTGGCATGCTGAGTACGATAGGTCCGGTCGGCAGGTGACGGCTGCGAAGAGGAGGAAACCTAAATTTCGCTGGTAGTCACGTATGCCGGCGGGCTTGAGTGGCGTGGAGCTTTCTTTGCGTTTTCTGTCGGTGTAGCGATACGGCGTGGTGATAGTGGCTGGAGTTAGTCCGAAGCGTTTGGCGATGGTGTCGGCGTACTTCGCGGCGCTGAGATGAATCGCGTTCTCTTCTTCCTGTAGGTTGAGTCCCAGGTACTGTGTGACAGTAGACGAGACGGTAAGTGTGAGGTCCCGCTGCAGCTCCCCTTCGAACCAGGTCGTGATGCCGTCGGTCGAGCCGATGTAGAGAAAATCATCCACGTAGACGATGAGCAGAATGTAGTCGGTGCCTTTCGTGAGTCGGTACATGCCCTGGTCGTGCGGTAGCTGGCGGAATCCGATGCGGATGAGTCGGGCGTGTAGGTACTGCTGCCACAGCCTCGGGGCCTATTTGATACTGTACAGGGACTTCAGTTGACAGACTTGGTTGGGGTCTGCGTTGGAGCCGTGTGGTTGTTCGACGAAGATCTCAGCATCGACGGGCGCGTAGAGAAAGGCGTTGGCGACGTCGATTTGGCGAAGCCTTTTCTGCTTCATTGCGGCTATCGTGAGAAGAATCCGCAATGAGGTGTGCCGGCTGACCGGTGCGAACGTTTCGGTAAAGTCCCGTCCGTGCTCTTGGTCAAAGCCACGTACGACCAAGAGCACGGACGGGACTTTACCGAAACAGGAACCGAGACCCCACGTCCGGCTGACCGGTGCGAAACGTTCGGTAAAGTCCCGTCCGTGCTTTGAACTTGTCAATCATTCTGTCTGCCTTTGTCTTCACACGGAAGACCCATTTTCCTGTGAGTATGGTCTTGTTGCGTGCCAGGGCGATGGGCACGATCTTCCAGGTGTTGCGTTCTTCTAGCGCCTTTAACTCCCTGTCCATGGCTTCGCGCCATTTTTCCCTGTGCTCCCCCCCCAGAGCCTGCTGAACTGTGGCAGGCTCCTTAGGTGGCGCCGCTCCATGGTCCGCGGTGACAAGTCCAAGTATCTGCAGCCCGCTCTGTGTGTAGCGGGGAAGATTTACGTCCTCGGGATAGACGGCGTCGTCTCCCGCTTCTGGATCAGGTATGAAGTTGGGTCCTATGCAATCTGCTTCGTCGGTGTTGACTTGCGCGGGTGTAACGTAACCATTGTCGGCGAGGTCGTAGTAGACTTCGGCGTTGATGCTTTCGCGAGGGTTGTCGTCGTCCGTTGGGACGTCGACCGAGCAGTAGGGAAGAGTTCCGGCTTCCTCCGATGCTTCTTCCACGTTTTGTTCGTCCCAGTCAGCTTCGTCTGCTGCCGAGGCGAACGCTCGATTGCCACGAAATCCATCTGTGGGGTCTTGGTTCGCCCGCTCGTTGGCCAGGTACGTGTGGAGGGTGAGTCGCTCGTAGAAGATAACGTCACGTGCTGCCACTGTTTCTTTCGAGTGGACATCAAATATCTTCCACGCGTTGTAATGTTTTTCGATGCCCAGGTGTAGTCCCCACTGTGCACGTTGCGAAAATCTTCCGGCTCGTGCAGTGTGTGGTCGGTACTGTACCATGCAAGCAAAAACTCGTAACATTTTTGTGTTGCCCAATTTCCCTGTCCACAGCAGATGCGGTGAGGCGTTGTTCGGGAGTGACGACGACGAAAGCAAGTTGTGCAGCATCACGGCATGGTCCATTGCTTCGGGCCACTGGTGGTTGGGTAGCAGCATGCCACGTAGCAGTTTGCGCATGGTGGTCTGGAGTGTCCTGTTCATCCTTTCTGCTACGCCTTGCTGTTGATGGGCGTAGGGGAGAGAGATGAGTCTCTTGATTCCTCTCTCTGCCAGATACTGCTTGAAGCGTTGTGAGTGGTATTCTCCCCCCCCCCCATCTAACTGGAAGCTTTTTAGCTTCGCTCCAGATTCCCGTTCTGCTACTGGAAGCCAGGCGACGAAGGCTTCAAAGGCCATGTCCCGGCTCGGGAGGTTGAAGTGCCAGACGTATCGTGTGGCGGCGTCGATGAACGTGATGGTGAAGTTATACGCTCCTTGTCCAGGTTCGCGGTTGTACAGTATGTCGCTGTACACTTTCTTCAGTGGTGCGTATGCTGGGGCACTCGGATTGTGGTGAGAGACGAACGGTTGATGCGGTAAGTCAGCTTCAGGGCAGGTGAAGCACGTTCCTCGAACTCGTTGAAGTTCTCTCCCGTCGTGTAGAAGCAGTGAGTCTTTGTCGAGTACTCGGGCTCTTATGGTGTTATTTAACGTTGTGTTGCTTGGATATCTTATTCGTGCGTGCTAGATATCTTCGCTAGCACGATGTCCAGCTGAGCGCCTATACAGGTCGGAGTTGGAATAGAAGCTGGCGATTAAGTTGGCGCTTCTAAGAACTTCACGTGGAGTGGGAGTCAGTTGTTGCGAGGGAGTTGGTGGTGTGTCGTCGATGGCAGCTGGTGCTGTTGAGGGACCAGCGATTGGTGCCGGTGGTGCTGCTGCCGGTGTTGTTCCTGTTGCTGTGGATGTTGTCTCTGCTGCTGCTGATGTTGTCTCTGCTGCTGCCGATGTTGTCTCTGCTGCTGCCGATGTTGTCTGAATCGTTGCTAACGCTGTTGTTCGTTCTGTTTCAGGTATAGTGTGTGAATACCAGAAGCCTCCGGGACTGAAGTTGGGGTCAAGATCTGGCGGGTGTGTCCAAGAGGTGAAGTTGACGATGGCGTCGCTGTCGGCGGTGCCTTGATCTGGAACAAAGTCGAGGACGAAGACGTTGTTCTTCAACACTGCCTTCCCGATGTACAATCCGTCTTTCCCGTTGTACAGTCTGAACTCTTGGGTAGTGCTGTCTGCCTCGAGGTGAATGCCTTTCGCCATAAGTTGGCTGACGCTCAGTAAGTTGTAGCCGAGTCCTTCTGCAATCAGAACCTTTGACATTTGCAAGATGACATTAGTTTCTTGCGACTGAAGTTGAACAATTCCTTGTCGTCGTGTGCGCAGGTTCTGGTTGTTGGCGACGGTGATGACGACTTCGCGCTGAACGAAGCAACCCAAGGAGCACATGTGCTGTCCGCAGCAGCTGTCCAAGAACCAGGTGTCTTTCCCGGATGGCTCGCTCTGAGCGATGGCTGCGTACGTCGGGTTCGGTTCCAGTGATTCGCAACGAGGAGTGCTTTCATCGAGTTGTTCTTCCAGTGAGTAGTGCGGCGGTTACTCGGTGATGCAGGATGTCAGAATATTATGTTTGTCTAGTCTGCAGTGGGGTACTCAATAGTGAGTACAACCCTGTTAGGGTTTGCTATATGTATCCCATTGTTTGCTAGTGAAAGCCCCTCTTTTCTGTTCTAAACTTCTGCCTGCTGTTTCTGACATGATATCAGAGCGGTTACGCTACTGGCTTTTGGGCCCGCCTGCTTCTGCTGCCATACTGTCTGTCGCGCGCCCCGTGGCGCGCGACGTTTTTTCTTCCCGCCACGCGCTCGGGGCGCGTGGCGGTTTCCTTCCCGCCACGCGCTCGGGGCGCGTGGCGGTTTCCTACCCGCCGCGCACCCTGGGTGCGCGCGGCGGAGTCGCGTTCTGTCGCGGCACCCCCCCGTCGACCCGCGCGCCCGTCCCCGTCGACCCGCACACGGCTCCCCGTCGCCCTTCGCGGTGCCCCCGTCGACCCGCGCGCCGCCCCCGGGGACCCGCGCGCCCGTCCCCGTCAACCCGCGCGCCCCCTCCTTGGACCCGCGCGCCGCCCCCGGGGACCTCCGCGGCCGCCCCCGGGGACCCGCGCGCAGCCTCCTCCCCGCCCCCCCCCCCTGGCCCCCCCTTCTCCTTTGCCTCCCTCCTGCGCGTTCCGCAGTGGGGTGGCAGGTGTGGGGGTGGCTAGTATGGGGGTGGCAGGTGTGTGAGTCGTCCCCTGCCCCTCGTCCTCCTCCGTCTCCCACTGCTGCAGCTGCAGCTGAAGGGGGTGGATGTGTGGGAGCCGTGGGGGTGGCGCTAGGGGGGTGTCGTGGGAGTGGAGCTAGGGGTGCAGCAAGGGGTGTGTGAAAGGGGTGTGGGACAGTTGGGGGAGGTTGAGCGGAGGTAGCCGTCGTGACGTTAGCAGCGCCAGTAGTCCAGGGCCCTTGTCACTAGTAGCCCAGCGAGCCTGCTGCGCCAGTCGCCCGTGGGTCAGTTGCTCCTGCCGCTCGTCTTAGCCGCGGAGCCAGTTACTCCTGTAGTCCGGGGCCTTGCCACCGGTAGCCACCATGCGTGCCGCTCCTGTTGCCCGTGTGTCTGCGGCTTCACCCGTCGCCTCCTATCTCCACTCCTCTCACAGTCCCTCCTCCTCCTCACTTGCCCTCTGTGACTGCCTCTAGCTTTGCTTGTACTTATGAACCTGCTCTATGACTGCTTGTTGTGCTGATTATACCCCACTTTGACTATGGGGATGTGTCAGAATATTATGTTTGTCTAGTCTGCAGTGGGGTACTCAATAGTGAGTATAACCGTTTTAGTGTTTGCTATATGTATCCCATTGTTTGCTAGTGAAAGCCCCTCTTTTCTGCTCTAAACTTCTGCCTGCTGTTTCTGACACAGGAGTCTGTTAATCTCGCCATGCAGCTTACGATGTTTCTTGCGCCTTGTGCAGGTTGTGTCGTTGGAGTCGTTGAAGACTGCGTTTGACTGGTGGGGTGTGCTTGTGTGGAGGCAACTTGACTACTTGAAGGCCGAAGTTGACGTTGCAGTGGTGTTGACTGCTGCTGATTCGGGCAATGTGTGCGAGGATGCCCTGACGTCTTGCAGAGGTGGCAGAACGGCGGTACGTGCCGTTGTGGTTGATGTCTATTCTGCCGGTTGTTGTTGATGTAGCGTCTTTGAGTGTGGAACGCGAACTTAGGTACTGATGTTTTCCTCTTGTGACGTTCTTCGTGCATGTCCATGTCCTGTTGTTCGGCGTGAATTTCGGCGCAGAGTGTTGCTTCAGAGATCTTTCCGTGGGCTCGAGAATGGCTCGAGTGGAACGCTAATGAGGGCCGAGGCCAGTGATGACGACTGTGACGAAGGCTTCTTCGGATATCGATCCTACGCATCGAACGAGTCTATCGCGCAATCCGCGACATCGGCTAACATACGCCATTCCCTTTTCGCCGGGTTTCATTTCCACTGTTTTCAGCTGTGCCATTAGCAGACTCTGGTTGACGCTGTCTGTTGCTTGATACAGGTTCTTCAGGTGGCTGTTCGCGAGTCGGCGGAGTTGCCGAATCCCCGATAAGACCGGATGTTTTGCTGCTCGTTCGGTGTTATGTTTCGTAGCAGAATCGTGTACGCCATTAACGATTGGTATGTGTACTGCTGCTTGTCGTATTGTGTCCCGTGCGTTGGGTATGGCAGGGAACCGTCGAAGTATCCAAGAATTTGCGCGCCTTCCATCATCAGCTCGAATTCGAAGGACCAGGTATAGAAGTCATTTCCGTCGAAGGGCGTTGATGTTTGCAGCTTTAAAACGTGCGCGAACTGCGACTGTATTTGAATCGCGTCTAACCTCTTCTCTTGTCCAGGTGCAGGTTGATTCGGCATGAAGTTAGTGGAGCCACGTTGAGGCTCGTACGGCGCAAAGGTAGGCTGCTGTTGGTTTCCCCATGCATACGATGAACCATCGAGGCTCATGGGGGTAACCCCGTCGTTGTTGTTGTTGTTGCTTGATTGCGCAGGTGCTCCTTGCTGGTGTTGCTCGTAGAAGGCCATGAAGGAGAAGAACTTCTCCATCATGCTTGGGTCGAAGCCTGTCGTCTGGTTCGCAGTAGTTTCTGTTGATTTAGCAGCTGGTCTTGTTGCTATACCTCCCTCTGTCTGCAGGCCAGAGGCTGGAGGTGGGGTAGGAGTGGTGCCGGGAGTGCCACTAGAGGGGTTTCTGTCCTTCTATGCAGCCATGTCTTCTGATGTTGTAGAGTTCAAACGAAATGGAGTTTTCCTTGACTTGCTCTCGTACCTAGTTGGGCTGAGAAAAAGCCCTTAGGATCTTTTCAAGGCTAGAAGTCCTAGTAGGAATATTGTGTCAAACTATATATATATGTATGCTGTAGTATAGTCTGTAGGCTGTAGTGGGGTAGCCCATATGGGGTACAGCCCAATGTTAGGGTTTCTATTTGTACCCACCTTCCTGATAGTTCATTCATTCCTGCCTAGACTTCTGACATGGTTTCAGAGCAGTAGGTCCGTAGGACCGTCTTTTTTTTCGGGCCCACCTACCGCTACCCCACGACTGTGACTGTGACTGTGCTTGTGACGTGCTGCGCTGTGCGCGCCGCCTGCCTGCTGCCTGCTGTCTGCTGTCTGAGCTGTTTGCTGCTGCTTCGCGCACGCAGACCTAATTCCCGGGCGCTGCCCGCTTTTGCCCCGCGCGTCGCCCTAGCTGCTTGCGCCGCGCCTCGGCAGCTCACGCGCGGCCCGCTACTGCCCCGTGCGTCGCTTGCGCAGCCCGCGCCGAGCCACGGCAGCCTGCGCGCGGCCCGTTGCAGCCCCGCGCGCCGCCTATGCAGCCCGTGCCGTGCCGTGGCAGCCCGCGCGCGGCCCGCTGCAGCCCCGCGCGCCGCCCTACCTGCCCGCGCCGTGCCTCCGCAGCCTGCGCGCGGCCCGCTGTTGCTCCGCGCGCTGCCTGCGCTGCTAGCGCATTGCCCAGACAGCCCACGCGCAGCTTGCGGCTGCTTTGCGCGCCGCCCTTGCCTGCTGCCTGTGCCTGCTGCCTTTGCCTGCTGCCTGTGCCTGCTGCCTTTGCCTGTGCCTGCTGCCTCTGCCTGCTGCCTTTGCCTACTGCCTTTGCCTGCTGCCTTCGCCTGCGCTGCGATTATGGCGACGCTTAATGTTCTCGCGTTTGAGCCTGACGGTCGCCCGATTGAGTTTGCCACTTGGCTCGACGACCTGCAACTGTTTCTTATGACTGATGCAAAAGACGGCGTTTCACTGTTCGATCACGCGTCTGGCACTGCCGTTGCTCCTGCTGACACTGCTCCCGCTCTTGACCGCTCACAGTGGCAGACTCGTGATGCTGCTGCGCGCCTCGCTATTCGCAACCATCTGCCGATCACTGAGCGCGCGCATTTTAGCCAGCACAAGACTGCTAAGGCACTGTATGACGCTGTAGTTGCGCGCTATTCGTCCCCAGCCACTGCAGCCGTAGGTCGTCTCATCCTGCCCTACCTGTTCCCAGACCTGTCCTCGTTTGCCACCGCTGAGGACCTTATCTCTCACCTCCACGCTAGTGATGCTCGCTTTCGTGCCGCTCTTACAGACGACTTCCTCGCCAAGAACCCCCCCCCGTTGTACTTTACCCTCTACATCCTCGTTATCCGCCTCCCTGACACTCTCAGTTCAGTCAGGGACCACTTCCTCGCCAAAGACCCTACCACTCTCACTCTAGCCGACTTCGAGCAGCAGCTCCTAGCAGCAGAAAAGAACATCCTCGCTGTAGGTGCTGCTCGTGGCACTCCTCGCACTCCCCTCTTTGAGGGGTGCTCCCCCTCCCCTCTTGCCCCCTCCTACGCCTCTGCTGCTGCTGCCGTCGACCTCCTCGGTGCTGAGAAGGTCGCAGCTGCTTCCGCTCCTAGTGGGAAGCGCAGCGGCACCAGGGGCGGCAAGGGTGGCAGGGGTGGTGGAGGTGGCGGTGGAGGCGGCGGGGGTGGTGGAGGTGGTGGGGGTGGTCGTGGGGGTGGAGGAGGTGGGTGGGGCGGCGGTGGGACCGGGAGAGGTGGAGGAGGTAGCGGTGGTAGTGGGGGAGGAGGCAGCAGTAGTGGTGGCAGAGGTGGGGGCTGGAGTGCGGCCGGCCAGAAGGGGAGCTCCAGTGGTGGCCAGGGGCAGCAGCAGCAGCAGCAGCAGCAGCGTCGGCGCCAAACCCCCACGTCTCAGCAGCT